ATGGTGGGCAAGACAAGGGAATGAAGGTGGAACAGGGAGGAATGATTGATTCACCGAGTAGATAATTAAGAGCTCCAACTATATGCCAGTGCCCTGTTAAGATACTGACGAGTCAAGTGGGGGAAATAAGCAGAATAACAAAACAAACTTTCAGTCATAGTACCATAAAGGCAAAATATGTGATACTATGAAGTCGTGAAACAACCTCTCCTAATGCTTCAGAAAAGGTCCCCTTTGAGAAAGGGATCTAGATTCTGCAGATTGACTAGAAGTCAACTACAGGGCATGGCGAAGAACAAACGGGAATAATTTTCAAGGGAGGAGAAACAGCGTTTACACTGTAAGGAAGCCAGTGTGAGAGACTGCAAAGAGCAAAGGGGAATTTGATGACGAGGTTGCAGAAGTGGGATAGCACTGTATTATGCAGCAGTAAGAAATCTGTCCTTTATTCTAAGAGCTAGGGAAAGCCCTGAACATGTTTTAAAGCCGTGTGTATTATTAAAAAAAAAAAACACATCGAATTTGTGTCTTGAAGACATTGTTGTGGCTGCAGTAAGAAGAATAGATTGCAGGGGTGAAGTGGATATTAAGCCATCTCTGCAAAAACCATGAAGATGCTGGGAGGTGAAGGACTTGGTGACTTGGGAGAGGATGGGGTTTCTGGGTTGGGCTTCTTAAACACACTCCCAGTTCGTAACAGGTAAAAGCACATCATCTGACTAGAAGTTTTTCATCTTTTTTTTTTTTTTAATATTTATTTGGCTGGCTATGTCTTAGCTGTGGCATGCAGGATCTTAAGTCTTTGTGGAATCATTAGTTGCAGCATGCAAACTCTTAAGTGGCGGCATGTGGGATCTAGTTCCCTGACCAGGGATGGAACTCGGGCCCCCGGCACTGGGAGCGTGGAGTCTCAGCCACTGGACCACCAGGGAAGTCCCTGTTCTCACCTTCTTACTCACTAGGGCAAGAATTACATTTTGCCCTGGTCATCTAAAAATTACATGCTATATATATGGAATTTAAAAAGATGGTAACGCTAACCCTATATGCAAAACAGAAAAAGAGACACAGATGTACAGAACAGACTTTTAGACTCTGTGGGAGAAGGCGAGGGTGGGATGTTCAGAGGGAACAGCATTGAAACAAGTATACTATCTAGGGTGAAACAGATCACCAGCCCAGGTTGGATGCATGAGACAAGTGCTCGGGCCTGGTGCACTGGGAAGACCCAGAGGGATGGGATGAAGAGGGAAGCGGGAGGGGGGATCGGGATGGGGAACACATGTAAATCCATGGCTGATTCATATCAATGTATGGCAAAAACCACTACAATATTGTAAAGTAATTAGCCTCCAACTAATAAAAATAAATGAAAAAAAATAAAAATAAAAAAAATTACATGCTACATTATACATTCAACTGTCAACAATGGTGGGAATGGGACGAAAGAGGATGGTAGAAAGAGGGCCTTTTACCATCAACATTTCTATATTACATGACTTTTACAATAAAAATGTGAATACAAATATAAGTTGAAAATTGAATATAGAAACCCCATCAAATTATTTACAAATATAAGCAAGAAAGCTAGGATTATGTTGTTTTATGGCACTTAGAAATGGATTTTGAGCTCTGAAGAGCCCACTCCCACCCATCTGCTTCTTGGGACTCATTTGCAATAGAAGACTGGAGGGATTAAGTGTCCACACCAAATAAAGGCTACAGTATATGCAGAAGATGCAAGGTACACAAGTTTAATCCCTGGGTCAGGAACATCCCGTGAAGAAGGAAATGGCAACCCAGTCCAGTATTCATGCCTGGAGAATCCCATGGACAGAGGAGCCTGGTGGGCTATAGTCCATGGGGTTGCAGAGTCAGACAGGACTGAGTACACATGTGTATTTTTTTAATCTTAAATTATGATTAATATTTTATCAGTAAGATAAAAGCCTAACAATGATCAACAGTGAGACAGCGGACTAGACTACACTTTTCCCTCATGTAATACTTGAATGAGAAAGACTGAGAGAAGAAAGCTAACCCTGACTTTGGACAAGACATTTAACAAACTGACAGCTCTGCAGTTTCGTGGAGCTGAAACAATGTCCTTTTCATAAACACATACACATGACGTCCTCACCTGGGAAACTGAATCTCAGAGTTAAACATGCAAGGATTGGTGCCCATCATTCAGAGCAGGACTCGTATAATTCCAGCCAACAAACTCCTCTCTAGGTGGAGAGGAGGTGTCCAATAAACCATTAAATGTGCACTTAGCAGGATGTTAGCCATTCAGTCAGCATTAACTCATAACTGCATTCAAATGTGGCATCTGGACTTTTTCCTTCCAATAATCCATTTGCTTCTTGTTTTATTACTAAACTGCCTTTGAGTTTCTTTATAGTCTACACCCCACTTCCACTGTTTGAGATAAATACCCTTGAGAACACTGTTTTGTTTTGCTTTGTTTTTGCATCCTACTTATTTTAACATGGATGTGGAGAATCTAAAACAGACACAGCAAAAGCCGAAAATTTAAAAACATGCACTGAAAAATAGGATCAGTGTTTACTTGCTAACACATACCAGTGATGGGGGTTCCCAAAAAACTAGATAGGGGTTACCAACAACTAGATGGCACTGTACAAAGCTCTTTCACATTTATTATTTTGTTCCATCTTCTGCCACAGTGATCAGACCAGTCCTAATGACGTGCAAAGATTTTAATCTTCTGACGTGTGTGCTCTTTATTCAGCCATGCAATAGGATGTTTCTGGAAGGGAGCTGGATTAGAGCAATCGTAGATAAACATGCACATACACAAGACGGAGAGCCTCGGGGAACTCAAGGGTAGGCAAGCATGTATGAGTCTCCTCCCCCACCCCAGGAAACCGGGCAGTCCTCTCTGCCTGCCTGATTCGGTCATCTTCTCACTCACTTCCTTTGCCTTCTGCTTTCCCCAAGCTCACAACCATACCAAGACTGTAGTCTCAGGCATGGCGTGAGTTCAAAGGGTACAATCCTGAATCTCAGCTGGAGCTCCAAAATTCCTGGGCCACATCTGACTGACCAAGTTTGGGTGAGAGGGACACCTCTGTTCAACTGACTCTAAATAAGGGATACACACCTCAGCATTTTTAATGGCAAAAATGTCATCCATTACCGAAACGTCCAAAAAGAGAGAACTTACTAGAAAGTTACACCACACCCACAATAAATATAATGCAGCCTTTAAGATGCAGAATGATCAATGACCTGGGAAAGTGCTTACATTAAGTGGAGGAAAAGACCATACAACAGTGAAGACACAGAAGTGCATACATCAAAATAACAACAAAAATCACAGTCAGTTCTTGGTAGGGAATAATTTCCCCTCTTCCTTGTGTTTCTATGTATTTCCCAAATCTACAAAGAGCATGCTGCTATTACAGTTAAGATGATACAGTTTTAAATATACACTCAATTCCTTATTATGATTATTGCTGGGTAATGGAATTATAGAGGGAGGATTTTTATTTTCTTTTTTTTTTTTTTTCCTTCATCCATGCGAACCGTCCACTCGTGGTAAAAAAAAAAAGACAACGCTTTGTGTTCAGCACATCATTTTGGTCCTCTTCCTGGACACACCTGATGACTACATTCCCCACCTCCCTTACCATTGGCCTGAGGTCATAGGGCTGGGTTCTGGCCAATGGAAATGGGGAAAAGTGATGCATACCCTAGCAGGCCTGCCCATAAACCCCTGCAGGATCTACCACTGCAACTCCTCTCCTTCCAGGGCAAGTCTGAGGATTCAAAGCTGGCACTGTCACAAGATGGGCAAGTCTGGGTCCCTGGGAACCTTCCTGCCATATTGAAGTAATGATGAAAATGACAAGTCCTGCTGTCCGAAACCACTGAGATGTTGGAATTGTTACAGCAGTTCATCTATCCTATTACTATTATCAGTAGGAAAAGACAAATTAAGATGCTCCTTCCAGAACACAAACCTTCAATATCAGTCCATGATCTATTAGAAAGAAGTCCTCAGGACGGCAGAAAAGGTCCACCATAACCTGGTCCCATGCACTTCACATCCCCAAAAATCTCACTGACACTCCTAAAGGCTCCTAAAACCTCTAGACCCAATCTTCCCATATTTTGGCACCAATCACAACTGTGTTACAATTAGTTGGTTGTTAATCAGTTCCTCTCATGAGACTGACCATCTCTGCTAAGGCACAGTTGTCTTTCTTTTCCACAGGTGTAACTTCAACACTTAATGCCATGTGCACGGCATATAAAGGATGCCAAGTATCTGCTGAATGAATTAATAATGTGCTCCTAAGTGTTCATAGCCCCTAAAAACCATGAAATTTTAGTGCCTTGGAGGCAGGGAAAAGCAATTCTCATTTCATCAGTATACATTCTCTTCTAAAACAAATTTCAATCCCCAAGTATCTGTCTAGCCAGCCTAAAGCTTTTACAGTATTACTGAAAGGAAACCAAGAGCCAGGACTCAAAATAATATCCTTGTAAAAAAATAATAATAATATCCTTGTTAGCCTAGTACTGGTTCCTAGACTAAATCCTTTATGGGTTTGTAAAGCTTTAAAAAATCTGACTTCTTAAATTCAGAATTGGAATTTGTCTCAAGAATTTACAGTGAAATTACTCTTAGATATTTTAAATAGAGGTGGATTCTAAAATATTTCATATAGGAAACAAACTTAGAAATATAAGAATCACCACGATAACTCAAAATGCTCCATTTGTGAAGAGATATTCCCAGGAAAGCACTTTAGTTTATGCTCCTTGGTAAGTTCAGGTTTAATGATAGCCCTTCCATTAAATACAAAAACATTCCTTCAAAATGTTTAAACAGCACCTTGAGTCTTAGATGTTACTTGAACAGTATCCATGAAGAACATAGTTATGAAACCTATGACTTTACCCACTGTATATAGAGAACTGGATTTTTAAGAAATAGTTTCTTCTTTAATATGGATTACCTCAAGATATGAAGGACCAAATTACTCTTTGGTTTTATTATATGGGAAAAACAACACACAGTCCTTTAGTCAAACAACTTTGTGATATTTATATTCCATTGCACAGGTAGAGATTATACAAATTAGTAATACAAGTTATTCCTTAAATTCCAAACAGTTTCTAAAATATCATTACACCAGATGCCTAGAATATTAAAACATCGAGGTGGAAATCATACTCTAAATAGTGAAATATGACACTGAAAATACTACACATTTTAAGTAGAGGAGAAAATTAAAATGTGTGCTAAAATGCTCTAACAAACCAAGTAGCAGGGCAACAGCTACAAGGAAGTCCCTGTGGTCCATTTGACGTATGCATCTATGTGATTATTAGAGAACCTCTCTTCTTGAAAATGCATAATTAAAACACAAAAATTTGGGTACATGGATTAATGAAATCTAAACACTTCCTAATACCTAAGCTCTATGATGAAATGTACTATTACCTATGACTTCATATAACTAATTCAAGATAAAAGACACCACACTTGGAAAGAAAAAAAGATTTTTAAAGATAATGGTTTTAATTGAGTTAATGAGATGAAAAAATCGTGAAGCCCTATGGGCTACTTACATGAAAGAAGATTTTTTAAAAAATAATCACTGCACAAAATACAAAGGGTGGGGTTATGCTGTGGTATTAAATTTCTCTCCATTATGTTTTTCTTGACTGTTCAAGAGCAAATTAAAGTTTCCACGGCGAATCTGTTCTCAAAATGCCGAATCGTAGCACAGATGCTGGCTTCACGTTTCTGAATACCTGTTTGAAAGGAAAAGTTGTTTAAATTTCTGGTTCTTCAGTAATAAATATTCATATTAATCTTCATAGCTATTATTTAGACATATACAAATATTTTACTCTATAGTCCATTAACTTCTGTAGTTTGATTTGTTTTAACATGGCAGAAGATAATTTCTGATCTCTTCTACACTAAGTATCTTTACAGAGGTTGATAAAAATAACAATGCCATACATATAAATTTATGACCCTGAAGGTAACAGAAACATTCTATATCTTGATACGGTGGTGATCTGTTGAAATTCAGAACTACACACTAAAAAAGGGTGAATTTTATTATATGTAAAATTATGGCTTTAAAAAAATTATGAACCATGAAGTTCATTTCACAATATAAGACCATCAAGCCTCAGGTTTCAGCTAACTCATCATCAAAGTATCATCAAACAGTAGATCAGAATCATCAAAAGTGCTAACAAAAAGCCAGAAATGCATTTAACCAGGTGCCACAATTTCAAAGAAATCACATCATAGTGTATCTGCATGGCATGTCTTACTTTCTAAAGCTCTGTCACCTTTCATTTTATTTTTTCAATGATCTTGAAAAGAAATGAGATAATGTCATCACGAGAGAAAACAAAGGTTAAGCGATTTGGCAAATCGCTAAGTTATAACAAACCTTAGTTATGTCAATGCAATTCTTCAGTCCAGTTCCTTTCTAACTAACCTGACTGTGGTTATCTTCAATGCGATCCAAAAGGCACACTCTGCTTAGAACCTGAGTACACACCTGAGAGCTACCTTAGAGGCTCTCTGGGTAAGCAGAACCCTTGCATAGCATGGCTGAACCAAAGTGGGAGGATGGAAAGGGAGACAGGGTGACTATATGGAAAGTGAGCTAACAGCACATCTAGGAAATGAATTTCACATTCACCTATTCTCTATATCTGAAAAGGAGTAGATTTAGAATTAAGGTGATTCTTCAGTAATCTAGAAATATTAAACAGTGTACAATATAGTTTTATTTCTTACTCATGGCCAATGTAATGGTAACAATGACAAGCTTACAACTAAATCTAATTTAACACAATGAAGTGAAACAAACTTTTCTGCCAACACTCTTAACATTCAAAAGTATTACCTTTAATGGTTTCTCTGCGTTGCAGTTTGTACGTTTCCTTGTCATGGCACAGTCGATAAATATAGAAACCCAGGTGGTCAATGTTTTCAATGCGATCAGTGATGACCATNGTCGATAAATATAGAAACCCAGGTGGTCAATGTTTTCAATGCGATCAGTGATGACCATGTGTTCATGAATCAGATATGACTGAGGCAAGTAGGTCCCAGCCTACATTTGGAAAAGAATTATATTACATGGATATCTCAAAATATACATTGAACAGACAAAGAAAACAAACAAAATTTTTAGAGATTATATACAAAACAGAGATTGGCAAATTATCACCCATCATCTGTTTCTATAAAGTGTAACTGAGGACTTCTCTGATGGGCCAGTGGTTAAGAATCTGCCTGCCAATGCAGGGGACACAGTGCTATCCCTGCTCTGGGAAGATTCCATAAGCCACAGGAAAACGAGGCCCAAGAGCCAAAACTACTGAAGCCCACGCACCCTAGAGCCCATGCTCCGCAACAAGAGAAGCCACCACAACCAGAGAAAGCCCGCACACGGCAACAAAGACCCATGCACAGCCAAAAATAAATAAATAAATAAATTTTAAAAAGTTTTATTGGAGTATAGTTGTGCCCATTTGTTTACATATTGTTTATGGCATCAAAACTGAATAGCTGCAACACAGACCTTATTTCTTAAAAGCCTACTATTTATTCTCTGACCCTTTAGGAAAAGTTAAATATGATATAATTTAAGAAATCACATTTTAATTTCAATAAATAAAATATTCAAGAGACAAGGAAAAAACCCAAACCACTAGTTTCAGTTACTTGTCATAAGATGCTTATTAGCTATACCATCAGTAAGTGAAGTGAAGTCAGTCAGTCATGTCTGACTCTTTGCGACCCCATGGACTGTAGCCTACAGGCTCCTCCGTCCATGAGATTTTCCAGGCAAGAATACTGGAGTGGGTTGCCATTTCCTTCTCCACCGTCAGTAAGACGGGCTCCTATAGGGCTAATTTCTCAATAAGGAATTCCAAGATCCTATAACAGCAGCAATAATAAGAAGTATCTGAAAGTTTTATACCTTTATGTTAATAAGTAACTCCAATAGGTTTTTGGGTGGCATGACAATGGAAGTGTTCAGAGGAATCACATAGCACTTATCCAGGTTAAGATCCAAATAGGCGGTGAGTTTCTGNCCTTTATGTTAATAAGTAACTCCAATAGGTTTTTGGGTGGCATGACAATGGAAGTGTTCAGAGGAATCACATAGCACTTATCCAGGTTAAGATCCAAATAGGCGGTGAGTTTCTGGGAAGAAAAAGATAATATTTTTGTTAGATTCATGTATAAATATTACAAATATATTTGTAATAATATTTGTAAACAGGCAGCAACTAGATTTTTAAGAACAATTTGTACCATTAAAATGGGTTGGCTTTAGAATGTGTCAGTCACTTGCATTTCAACAAATCAAGAATTTGGTAGGATAGGAATGGAAGTAGTAAGGGGAGAGGAAATTCTGCTACTAGTCAGTATTTACATAGTGATCAGATAACAACAAACTATTAAAACTAACTCCAATACCCTATCATTTGATTAAGAGACTTAGTCCCTGCATTTATAAACCATCATGCCCTCCAAGGCATCCATCTATTGTATATAAAAATTAACTTCTCTCTGATGCATCTAGAAAGTATTGGCTAGTTACTACCATCCACCAGAGAACTGGATGAAATTGACTGAAATAAGTCAATTAAATGACTCTGTTCTTATGGTTCAGATGAGAAACCATGATTGAGAAAGACTAACTCAACAGGATGGTTCTTAGGATTAAAATTAGTTAAACCAAAACATGTAAATATTTAGATTTCTAAAAGCAATTTAACAGCAGAGAAGGAAGGAACAGCATCTGGTGTGCATTAAGACAGACAAGGAAAGAGGGAGAAAAAGTAGGTTTCCTGAGGGTTAGCTTCAGACAAACAGCCCATCAAATGTTGGAGTTTTTCTTGTAGGGCAGAAGGCCTTTTTTAAAGTTTTCTTTTCAAACAGTAAACCATAAATAGAATAAGTTAGCCAATATTAAAACTACAAAAGCATCCATCAAGGGACCTGCATTCTTTTTACAGTTCAGGGCACCTGGCTCACCTTGTTAAAGTCATGAACAATATTGGCAGGGTCACTATCTGCAAACTCTGGGACAGGCACGCTGATGAATTCAACCTCATCTTCCTCAAAGATCTTGATATTTTCCTCAATGGTCTGGTAGCGAGCGGCTGGGGCGTCTGCAGAAGGCTCATTTAAGATGACATCATCTTTGATGTACTTTATTCCACAGTAGTAGACGTCATCTGGCTATAGAGAGTTTAAACACTATTTCAGCAATGCAGTGGGAGACAGGTTTTTAAATGTAAGTATTACTTAAGCTGCCACCTTTATCTAAACAGCATTTTGCTTGCAAATTCCTACTTTTAGATGACAAGTCAGACAGTTTAATTACAGAGTTAACACATTCTTTAAGATCAGGTTTTGAAGTATTGTTAAAAAAAACCGGTTCAGAAGGAAAAAAGCAGTTGATTTCTCCTTTACTTTTTGTATTTGATTAAAAATAGACTATAAAAGCAATTATCCATCTGGTGACAAGTAAATCTGAAGAAATATACACCTCTTCCTACCTGCAGACCTTAATTTTATAAAAGGAATATATTCAGAAACCAGGAATATTTTTCTTAAAGAATATACTTTTAATTTTGCTGTGATTCACTGATTAGATGATTTTTCTCTTATTAGCTGAAAAAGGCATGGTTTTTCTGTCATTTCTACAGGCATACAGGTAGCTCTCATTTTTCCTTAAAATATATCACAATTAAGTGGAAAATATTAGATTACAGCCAATCATAAAGATTTTTTTTAAAGTAGGCATATATAATAAAGATTATGAGCATATAACAAAAAGATAGATCAACAAATATCTCTAGACAGTGGAACTGCAATGACTTTTTATATCAAAAATACATTTCTTATAAAAAACTGCATTAAGATGACTTGTATTTCACTAAAGTCTATCACCATGCTATTATCTCAAACATACAGAAAATGAGCACAAAACTTATACATCCTATATAGAATGTTTCATTATTTTAATAAAATCTATCTGTCAACAGTTTCTCCAAATTCTGGCATATTAAATGAAATAAACCTATTGGATTACTGCCAGAGAAATAAGTCACAAAAGAGAGATCTTAAATCTTAGTAATTGTAATCAGAAGAAAAAAACTGTCTCAATCCACTGGAATTCCTATCTATAACAAATTACAAACAACTTTTATCCTAAATTACATCAGCATTATTGCCAAAGTCCCAATTCTTAAGATAAACCGATGGCTAAGAAAGAGGCAGAGAGAAATGCAACAAGTGTACCCTGGGCCCAGAAGCAAAAAGCTACTGTGGGGAAGCCCAAAATGTCGATCCAATAAATTATAGTTTATCAACATGACATCTGAGGCTGGTGTATTTATTCAATTGGCAACTGAAAAATCCTATAACTTAGCTATTAATTATGGTAGGAAAATTGAGGGTTAGTCAGTTTTGAAAAATCATCCAGCAATCTATATCCTTCAGTCAGCAACATTTCAAAACAATGTTTTAACGACTGTCTAATAGGCTCAGTGAACTTATGCTCAGGGAATTTTTGAACATAACCAGAAAACAGAACCACCACTCTGACTAAAAGGCCACGGACAAAAAGCACAGACTTAGAATTAAGTTTGGGCCAATTTTCTAGTACAGGTGAAGGAAAGACAGAAGTGTCCTTAGCATTTTCCCACTTACTTGAAGTGCAAAATATTTGTACAGGTATGCTCCCCCTAGAATGACACCCGCGAGCATAAACGCCAGTCCAAAGCACATGCACCAACACCAAGCTCTTCTTTGGCCAACTGGAACCACTTCATCTGGGTCCTGAAATGTGAAAGACTGATGGTCAGTATCTTATCTCCAGTCAGAACCACAGAAATGTCAAGCCTGAAAGAAACCTTAAGAATTATCACTTCCCACCTGCCACCCATACCTCTAGAGGAATCAATAACACACTCAACAATTTCTACTTCCTGTGCATTAATTTTTGTGGTTAAAATATCTTCTAATATTTAAAAATTCAGAAAAGGCGACAACCTTGTCATGCAAAATTATGGTGCTGAATCTTGTGTACTGGGCTTCCCCTATGGCTCAGTGATAAAGAATCTGTCTGCCAATGCAGGAGATTCAGGTTAATCCTTGAGTCAAGAAGATCCCCTGGAAAAGGAAATGGCAACCAACTCCAGTATTCTTGCCTGGAAAATTTCAGGGTCAGAGGAGCCTGGCGGGCTATAGTCCATGGGGTCACAAAGAGGCATACACGACTGAGCACGCACACACATCTTATGTATTATAACTTCAGGGTATGTGAGGTTATTCACAAAATTATATGTCAGCCTGCTGCAGGTAGTTAATATTTCACACTAGGTACAAAGCCATTCCTAACCAAACACAAGAAAAATTAACAGGAAAACTGGGACAGACCAAATAATATTAAACAGATTCTTTAAATAATCAGAATCTCAAAGAAGTAGGACAAACATATTCAGAAATAATTCTATTAATGCACTTCTCTACCCTAAAGAATCCCAGTTTGTAACAAAGTTTTTCACTTTAAAGATAGAAGGAGTAAAAACTTGAGGAAAGACTCAGTAAGAAAAACTTAATGATTAAGAGACATACAACTAGTATGCAATTGTTAGAATTCTGATTCCGACCCATTCAAGGAGGTAATTTAGCCCTGAAACATCACCAAGGATCAGGATATGCACAGCCCTTAGACACACTCGCCCTTCTAACTCAGTCCTTCCACCCTGCCATTTCAAAGTTACAACTAATTTCTTATCTGTACCCAGGTTTATGTGCAAATAGCTAACAAATAAATAGATTAGTTGCTGGTGTTATATAACCAGTGACTCAAAAAACAGTACAGACAGCAAAAGAGAGGCCCCAATGGACTTGAAACCAACATAATAAAAGATGATCTAGTAAGTAGTATGTGTGTGCAGCCTCTCAAGTACTGTATGTAACTCTGACCTTTACTTGGAAAACTCATTTGGGATGGGTTAAAGGACAAAGTAGACTTGACCCCACAATTACATAGATAAATAGGATATAACTTAAGAGTTAGGAATGAAAACTGTATGAACGATACTGGAGGGAATTCTCTGGCGGTCCAGTGATTGGGACTCCGAACTTTCAATGCGTTGGCCCGGGATCGATCCCTGGTTGGGGGACAGGGATCCTGCAAATCACGTGGCACAGACAAACAAAAACAAAACAACACAGAAAAAAAAAAACACTGGATATAACTGAAGCAAGAGTTCAGACAGGAAAGAATGAAAGCTAAAGTTACATTTTCAACTCTAAGATGAGGAATCTTAAGTTGATATCACTCAGAAAAAGCCCAAGCCCAGATGTCCCAGCCAACCAAGAACAATTTAAGGCACCTGGGTTGGTTGAAGTTTAAACACTGTAGAAAAAATGTCTCTCAATCTAGGGATTAACTCAGATGCTGTGAGATCATCACACTTTGCTGTGGTAGGTGTACCTGTCAACAGACTGTATGTATACTTAGAGGACGACAAGTGCATTGCAAGGAATTAGAATGTACCAGAGAATAAACCTAAGGAATTTATCAGGTCAGGTAAGACATCCCATCTGTGAACAGAAAGTTACCAGAATTCCATGGACTCATCAGGTATTATGAGAGCCGAATACCAAAGAACATATAGTGTTTTGCTTGAGCCCTATCTAAGAAGACAGGAAACAGTTCCAAGGATAATTAATTTTAGGGTGGAGGCAGGGTGGGGAGATGAAAATGACAGATGGAAACAGTAACTTCTAAACATTTGGTATCAGCTGCTGAGACGTCAGATGTGTGTATAACACCCCCGTTTCGGCAGGCCCTCTGAACAGTAGTAGCACTTCAAGCAGCAGCCAGAGAGCATGGGCAGACCCTTGGAAACGAATATGCAGTCCCAACTGCTAATTGGATGACAAGTCTCCAGGCCTTTTGCTCTCTCATTTTTAACGGGTCAACAAGCAATATTTTCAAGACTAAATTATAAATGCCTACAATGGGCCAAGTGCTATGGGTATATAGCCACGGCCAAGAAAGAGAGCATTCAGGTCAGCCTGGAAAATCAATCTACAAAAAAGAACATAAATATGATACAAGTGCTAATAGGAGAAGTAGAGAACACAGGAGGACTGATTGGGAAAGACTTCCCAGGGGAGAAAATACTGGAGTGGAATGAAGGACAAATACTCATTAACTGTGCAGAAGGTGGAGTTAAAGGGCCTCGTATGTAGGGCAAAGAATGAATAACCAGAACGCGTTACTTCTCCAGTCACTTGGGGTATGGCTAGAGTGCCCAATATGGTGGCTACTGGTGCAGAGAGAACGGAGGAGTTACTGGGGCAGGTCACAAAGGTACTTTATGTAACATGCTATCTCTTGTTCATTCAAAAACCACATTTCAGGGCTACGGCAATAAAAATTTAAATTTCTCAAAAGAATCTAACTTATACAATCATTTATTGCATAAAAGAGGTACCAGGTCTTCAAAGTCTAACTAATCTCTTGTTTTCTCTAAATTCCTACAAGGTTAGTATGGTAGCTCCAAGCCAACCTTGGCATTTAGTCAGCACTCAATAAATAACTGATGAGTGGATAAAATTTAAAAGCTTTAAAACTTGGTTATTTTTTAATGACCCCCAAAGTTACATCAACAGCCAGCATGGTAATGGAAGGTGGGGCCAACATAAGAATTTATTAACCCACATGAGACTGTGGCTCTTTAGCAAAGAATAGTATAGCCCTAAGTACTTAGCCCAGTTCAACATTAAGGGCCTGTTATTTGCAAAGTACTGTGCTACATCCTGTGGGAAATTCAAATGTGATTAAGATATAGCTGAGGCCTTAAGCAATTTACAGTAAAAATTAACAGTATGCATGACAGACTGTTAAATGATGTTCCTTTATTACAGTCTTAGTTAGTCATGGAGAAGGGATGAAAGTATATCCAACACAGAAAAGTTTTTAACCTAAGTGATTTAAAAATGTATTTTTAGTAACTAAATTTTAAAACTTGAAAAAGTAAGCTCAGAGGGAAAAAAAGCCACGTATAAGATTAAAGAAAAGCCCCATGACCATCTCAAAATATGTAGAAAATGCATTCGATAAACACTCTCATTCATAATAAAATCTCTTTTCAAACTAGAACAGTTGAAATTCATTAACATGAAAAATGTTAATGATCAAAAATCTGTCCCAAGCCTCACATGTAACAGTTAAGCTTCAGAGTTAAACCATAACCTTTCAAGTCACGAATATGAGGATGCTCACTAGAACTGATTCTGTTTCTGTCTGAACAGTGTACTAGAGATCCTATATAGTTCAAAAATGACAGAACATGAACAGAAAAGATTAGAAAAAAGAATACAAAGCTGTCATTATGTTAAGTGATATAACTGTCTATGCAGAAAATCAGAAAGCCACATTATTCAAACTAATTAGCGTTCAGCAAAATTGCTGAAGATCAGTAATGAAAAATCAACAGGTCAAAGATTTATACATAAATAGTCATAGCATCATTATTCATAATAGCCCCAAACCAGAAACAACGTAACTATCCACTAACTGATGCATGGATAAATAAAGTGTGGTTTAATCACACTGAATCTCAAAAACATTGGAGTGAAAAAATTCCAATTCAAAAGACTAGCTATGAAAAGGAAAAACTACAATGACAGAAAGCAGCTTAGTGGCTGTCAGGGTGAAAGGAAGATAGAAGAGCCACAGGGAAATTTTTTAGGGTGATGGAAATGTTTCATATCATGAGTGGTTGTGGATATATGACTTTATACATTGACCATAATTTCAATCAAATTATATACATAATACAAGTGTACTTGACTGTCTGTAAAGTTGTTTTTTCTTGGTTTTTTTTTTTTTTTGGCTGCTCTGGGTCTTCGTTGCTGTGCGTGGGCTCTCTCTAGTATTGGGGCAGGGGCTGCTCACTGCGGTGGCTCCTCCCGCTGCACAGCATGGGCTCGAGGCTGCACGGGCTTAGCTACCCCTTGGCATGAGGAATCTTCCCAGACCAGGGACTGAATCCGTGTCCACCACACTGGCAGGCAGACTCCCAACCACTAGATCTCCAAGGAAGTCCTACTCCCTGTAAAGCTTATTTCAATATGGGGAGTGAGAGAAAAAATTATCAACTGAGTTCCTATACACTCTGCAATAAAACAGTCTAAACACCAGCGCTGGAGAAAGTGTGGAACAATGAGAATTGAGAACTTTCGCACAGCTAAAGACAGGAACTGGTACAAATGTTTTGAATGCCAATCTGGAAGGATCTAATACAGATAAAGGTATGTATGTATCTTACAAGCCAGTAATTCCATTCCTGGCACGATAACCCTAGATAAACACTTCTGTACACAGAAAGAGGCTCAGTAACAGTAACTGCAGAATGGTCATTAAGAAGAAAATTGGAAATAACTTAAATGTCCATCAAATAAAGAATAAAGTATTATAGGTTCATACAATTAAAGTCTAAATGAAACCAACTAGCACTGCTGACTTTGAGATTAATCTTAGAAACAGAATTCTGAACCAAAAAAAGTCAAGTTGGATTAAAAAATGACACCACATATTTAACACTTAAAAAAACATTTAAAAAACATAAATGGTACTCTAAACTCTTTTTTTCTTTTCAGTATGTTTGGATTATTTCATAATTAACCATCACAGTAAGAAAAAGGAAAACCACTCATGAACAAGAACATCTTCACTGAGATCTATAACTTCACTTGGCCTAATTTAAACAAGTAACAGACATTTCCTCCCATGGTACTGCAATAAAACTGGTGCA